ATATATATATATATATTTTTTTTTTCAATCGACTTCTATATTACGAAATTCTGTTTACTTTTTTTCTGGAAGTGTTTTCTTATATAGTTTACGGAATATAACTAGATATTTGTATTCACAAAAAGCGCTGGACCTTTTTTTTACAATAATCACTGTCTCTTTTTAGATTAGACTAAAAAAGACAGTAAGAAATTCTGTATTCGATTCGAATATAGTTACAGTAATTTCATTTATATTTTACCTTTCTAGAAATTTTATTTTGCACAGCATTTACATTAATTATAAATTATTTCTTTAACAATCATTTGTGAAACCTTGTAATACAGAGTTGTACAAAATTATAAAGAATTATAATTCATTTACAATGAAATGTATATTAGAAATCATAATAATTATTAGGAGCACAACATATATTTCTTCAGATTTCTGATACTCTTTATAGAGTTTAGTTATAAAATATAACGCAGTACAATATTATAATGAAATATATAAATTTAAAAAATTTACTTTAAATAAAATTATTAAAACTTCATAATTTTAATTACCTTCGACATTACGATATAAGTGAATCAAATTTATAATTAATCAAGAATAAATTTGTATCACACTAATTTTTAATTTGTACAATACAAAGATAGAAGATACATACAACTTTATAAACCTGTACTTTATTAAGCTATGATTCACTCAAAAGATATGCAAAAAGTAATTAAGTATCATATTATTTGTATTCATGTTTAAATAGTTATCATAATTTTATAGTAAAAATTGTAAAGCTAATGGCAGAACATTTATCATTTTACAATAATATGAAACACTTTTTACTGTTTACACTTTATATTATCTAAACAAGCAAAATTATTTATTGATACAGAAAATTGTTTTAAATAAAATACTAGTTCTAATACGTAGTTTATAAATAAAATAAAATATTCACTTAAAAAGTGTTTCATATTACATATTATCTAATTTATTTTGTGTGTGTGGTGCGTGCGTGTATGTGTGGTGTGTGTGTGTGTGCGCGCGCGCGTGTGTATTGCTTTCCTATTGTTTTGACAAAAATGGACATCATTTGTACAAATTGTGTATTTTCTCTTATTCATAAACTCTGTATTATAAGGTAATGTACAAAAATTTGTTATAGAAATTCATAATATTATATTCTTAATAAGATTTTTTCAAATATTTTGGCGTTCATTTTTTCAATATGCACATACCGTAGTGTCTTATGTTTTCCTTTTCAACATTTCTAAAATTCGGTAATGAAATATTTTTTCATATAATGAATATATTCAATACACGAACCTTTATTTTATAATGCATTTTCCACTTGTTCAAAATTATTTCAATGATCAGTAGGTTCAACATTCATAGTACATTATCTTCTATTTTTTTATAAATAACGCATTCCTGTTCACTTTCAATCATCGCTTCTTTTTTTAATTCTTAGAATATTCTTATTATCTTATCTTCTTAAATCCATATGCTGTGAAAAATTGTTCTGCATAAAAAATTCTTGATATATTTTTTAAATGCTGTATTATTTATGGTATTTTGCACATGGTCCTTTTTTAGCGAAATTCAGAAACAAAAGAATAACAACGATAAAGCACTATTTGAAAAAAGATTTTAATTGTTCAATATTCATTACGCACTATAAAACCTGAATTAATAGTGTCCACTCTAAATTTTTTAATCAACTGACCACATGATGCAATATTGTACCAACATTCAATCAGTTTTAAGTTTTCCATTTTTTCTTATTTAACATGTCACATTCACAATAGGCAAACACCAAAACAAATTGGTTTTTTTGCTATGAAACACAGTGACCACCCAGTCTAAAATGACTTTGGCATTTGGTTCAGGTTATGCAACGTAATTGTACTCATTTGCATTATCTTTATCTCGTTCCATGTAATCCCTATCTATTAGAGATTCAATCCTCTTTTTTAAATCTGCAGGCTGAAAACAATTTCCTGTATGTAATTATATGTCCTTAAAATATTTAAAATATTAAAATTTTGATTTAATATTATTTTAAAATATATATCAATGATATACCTTTACAGGAAACTTTAGCTGATTATATAATTCACTAATCAACAAATTGTGTGAAAGTGTTTTCCTCATTTTCATAATTCTGACAATAGCTGCATCTATCTGATACTGTCTATCCTGATATACTCTTTCCTCTGTAGCTTTTTGTTCCTCGTTCTAAAAAAACATAAATAAATGATATATTTTAAAAATCAACATTATACAAAAAAATATTCAAAAAATTATTTTATACCGTCTCTTTCATTTGAATTTGATTTATTTTAATTCTGAATAATTTATTTGTAAAATCTGCATTAAAAACAAATCTATCATTATCTGCAACATCTCTTCCCCTTGGATTTTTTTGTAATACTCTCGCTTTTCCACAAGCTAAAGATTGTAAAGTTCTTCTAAGTTCACCATCTTCTATATTTGTTGCTGCTTTTATATCCTCCAGAGACAAGTTATCGGCATCATTAAATAAAATTAATACTAATGCTTGAAACAATGAAACTTGAAGTTCTTTATTACCCTATTTTCAAAATATTTTTATGAAATATTATATTTAGTATAAGTATTCAATATAAATTTATTATAATATTGTAATAATACCTGATTAAACCAAGCTTTTAGTACACAGTGTCCCAAAGTAGGTTGCCATTGCAATTTTCTACCACTATGTTTTCCCAAATAAAATTTATTAAATACATCTTGATATTGAACCATTTCTGGCGGTAATGTTACTTCCATTACAGGATATGTCGGCCAATAACCCATTGTAAGTATTGAAACAGTTAAATCCAAATTACTAGCAGATAATTCACTTTGCAAATTCCCCGCATACTAATTCATAGCATAAAATTTTATAATTATGTATAGATAAAATTCCTATTTCAAGTTAAAAATATATTATTAAATATAAATACAATACTTACCTGTTTAAAAGCAATATTAATATCTTTGCTGAGTTCCATATCTTTGAACATTCCTTCCAATTTACTGGTAAAACCACCACCACATTCTTGTTTCAATTTAGATAACATGGATTTTTCAGCATCAACAGAAGCTGATTTACCAACTAATAAACGTTTAGCCAAATCTTTTTTATAAAATGCCTCAAACACATCTTTTCCATGTATAAATCTAAATAATACCATGATTTTATCTAATAATCTCTCTAATTCTTCTTCTGTCGCTTCTTTATTGCCCGCCCTTAACTTGCAATCAACGAATTTCGCTACAAGTAC